ATTTTATTGCAATGGCTCTATAAGGGCTTAGGGCTTAAGGTGGATTTTATTGCAATGGCTCTATAAGGGGATTCTAGACTGGTTCTATGAGGTTTCTATAAGGCATCAGGCTCGATGAGGGCTCTACAGGGCCAGGCGTGTAGGCCTCGGGGATATAATACAGGGGCTTGAACAGTTGCCTATAATATGTTGGGGGGTTCCTTATTATATTTATAGTAGAATATACCTTAAACCCTATTGACAATTATTGAGGCCTCCCCATATGAAAGCCCTGGACCTCCCAATCGCCCAGTCGGTGCTCTTCGCCGGTGGCACGCTCACACCGCACGCAGAGTTCACGCCGCTGCTGCAAGGCTAAATGCACCTATAGTCTCCATTGTAGTTCCTTTTTTGGTTTGACCACTATTATATTAAGGATCCAAGTAACCCCCAAAAGGAACTACAATGGAGACTATAGGCATGCTTCATCAAGATGCATCGCTTCCTTGTTGCACGGTCTTTGTTGCGAAATACAGGCGTAACTGGCTAAGCTGCAGATTTTAGTTGTCTGGCCAATGGACCTGCAAATTTCGGGTTGAAGGCAATCATATAGCACTCCTGCTCTAGAGGCAGAGGAACTACGACTTGTTGCCAAGCGTTTCAGGTTTAGGACTTGTTGTAGATGCTACAGCAAGTCCTAAGCCCTAAGCCTGAAACCCTTGACGTAATATAGGAGCCTAACTAGTTACCACTACTATGTTAGGAGCTCCTAATGAGAAGTATAGTAGAATATGCCCCAAAACCCGATAGTCTACTTTTTAAGGCCCCTATATTAGCAAGGACCACTCAGGATTCAGTCAAAAGAGGGCACTGCGCCAGCTAGATCCCTACATGCTCGGATCCGTCTGTTTATTGGATGACCTGTTATTCTTGCTTAGGATCCGGTTTGAGGGTTCGGGTTTAAGATTTGAGGGTTTAGGTTTTCGGGGATCCAATACAGCATGGAGAGAACAAGGCTGCGGAAGCCGAGCCTCCAAACAGGACATGCCAAGCTACGGTAATCCTAAACCCATCCTAAACCCCATATACCCTAAACTCTATACCCTAAACCCGAAACCGCATGACCCTAATCCTTGACTGCCGCAAATCCCAAGCTCACGACTCGAGAGGCAGAGGACTTCCCCGAATTTTCTCTGGCGTCCATGCGGCTCGCCGACAGGGTTTAGGGTTTAGGTTTAGGGTTTAGGGTTTAGGGTTTAGGGTTTAGGGGGTCCTCTACGTCTATGAGGGCTTTGAAGCAGAGTCTTCAAAGGGTTTAGGGCTTTGGGGCTTGCACGAATGCGACTCTCCAAAAAAGGGGTCTGAATAAACAGTCATGATCTTTTCTAGCAATCCATGTATCAGTATGCAATCACGTATTCTGAAAACCCTATGCTATTTTAAGGCCCCTACAGTCAAGCCTGGAACCTCTTTCACTTCCGCATGGAAATCCTATCGTAGCTATCGGGCCTTGAAATCTTTTCTCTGGAAAAGCGGGGCTCGAGTAGAGTAAGCTTCTCTACAGTACCTTAAGAACCCAGAACCCACTTTTTTGTAGGTTCTGATTATAAAGCCTAATGTGGGATTTATAGGGACCCTACAAAAAAGTAGGTTTTGGGTTCTTAAGGTATGGCCGAGATCCCCAGCCCCTTGGGCGTGATATGACGTGGTAGTTGCACCTTACCCATGTTGTAGGGTATCTACTTTTCTGCATGAGAGATCCAAACTGAAGAACTAGCTACCCTAGAAAAGGGGCAGGGTATATGAGCCTCTAGGAAGGATTTAGGGTTTAGGGTTTTAAAATTAGATGTTCCCCATACTCATGCGCAGCCCTTTTCAGGGTGCAGATTCAGGGCTTATAGGGTTTAAGACTTAGGGCTGACAGGCGGTCTTACACTTGGTCCCTACAAGGGCCACGGTTCCCAAAGGGTCCAAGTTATAGCTACCATATTAATACTTGGACCCTTTGGGGTTTAGGGTTTATGGTTTAAGGGCTTGGGATGGCATAGGGTTTGAGGAATGAGTCTATGGGCTCGCGGAAACCTCAGTCCGATTCCGGAAATCCGTAGAACCTGCTCTGACATTCCCCAATCCAGAAGCCCAAGCTGACCAGGTCGTGCCGAAACTCGGCTGCAGTCTTTGTACTTCTTTGGTTGTTGTTCTCTCTGCGACGACGAAGGTGTAGAAAAGCGACGCTAAGGGCTTATAAGAGTCCATGTGCCGACATAGTATACAGATGCACATAGTAAACCCTTCAGGCGTTCCTGTGTGCTTTCGAGTCAAAGCGCGTCTATGCTATCCGTATGCATCCGCCCTCTTGCCAACACTACAAGGCCCACAATAACATCGCAGACGAGCCCTCAGGGTACATGGACTCTCAGGGCTTGTCATGTTCAAGCGGAACTCTCTAAGCGATCCCTTTTTCAAAAAAAAAAAAAGCAAAACCCTAGACCGAAACCCCCGCCACATGCCACATGCAGAACTCTTTTCGGGTTGGGCGTTTGGGGTTCAGGCCTTATAGGGAATCTGCCTAGGTTCTGCATCCTTGAGGACGGGGCGCTAATTACTGTAGCAGGATTGGGGGTTTAGGGTTTAGGGTTCTATAGGGACTGAAAGGGAATAAGCGTGGGTTTTAAGTATATCGCACACTGGCTATATGGAGAACGGATTATTGTTACAAGCCTTTCAAGAGCCTGATCAGTGACGACGTGCGAACCTGTGCTGTCGACGTGCGAACCTCTGCTGTGTCGGCCTCAACCTCAAACTTCAATCTCTGCAGCATGAATGGTAACACACAGTCTACTTTACCGGTCAGACTTAAACAGCGGTGACATCCGACAAGGCCTTCTTCCCATTCTTAAGTGTGCTAGACTCTCTACAAGGCCTTGCAACACCCTGAAGGTTGCAAGACCCTGCGAAACCTCATAAAGATATCGTCTAAATATTGAGTCCCCTACACTACGCCCCAAAAGCCGCATCCAAATCTTCAATGCCGCTGCTAAACTATAGGACAACCCATATACTACAGAACTCTTAGTAACAGCGGCAGGAATCCTATTCTAGCTATCAAAGCTCCTTCAACGCTAAACCCTAAGCCCTTTCAAGCTACTCTAACTATCAAGGAACTCCTCCCTTAATTCTGTTGATGGTGTAAATCCTGCATTACCTTTAGGACCCTAACCCAGACCCTCCAAAAGGATCGGAAAATAGATCCCCTAAGGGGGTTCCTATAAAGTACCCTTTAGTAGTTAGGGTCCCTAATTCGAGGATCTATTTTTAGATCCTTTTGGGGGTCTGGGAAACTATGGGAATTATGGTATATTCCTTATGTTGGGTAATACTCAACCTTAGGTCAGAACAGCTGTTTGTCCGCTTCGTTACCCACGGCCCGGGGGGCCAGCAGCTTGACTTTAGGCCGGGACTGGACGTCTCTCTGTGTCTTTTTGAGGGTTGCTTAGGATTTAGGGCTTAGGTTCCGGTATTTTTGGTTTTGCTGTGCCGTTTCTTGTGGGACGGGGACGGGAGGAGGGAACGCGGAGGTTAGGGTTTAGGGTTTAGGGCTTAGGTGTAGGGACTTCAACTTTTACGGGTGCATGTTTCAGGGTGAGGGTTTCGAGGTTTTTTGGCTCATTGAGGGTTCTGCTGAGGCATCTCTTGGGGGTGAGGTTCCAGGGTAGGACTTATAGGTTTCGGGGTATCCAGGGTAGGACTTATAGGTTCCGGTTGTAGTTGGGTGGGGCTTCGGGTTTAGGTTTGGGACTTCGGTCGGTAGGGCATAATAAATGGTGTGATACACGATAATCGCTGCAAGATTTCATGGGGCTACCTTTTCCGCACGTCGTTTAGGTTTCCAAGGTGCAGAGATAAAGCCGAAACCTTGAGAACCCGTTGGCCCAAGAAGAAATCTTCACGGATTAGAATAGTATGTTGTTCAGCTGGAATTTGCGTGATTCAGTGATGCGCTTGGCGTTGAGGTCCCAGCAACCATCCATCTCCACGGGCACCACCACACGCTTGGGAGGGTGAATTCGTGTCGGGGCTTGCGACAGAGCAAGCTGCCACAGAGCTGGGCTCAGAAACCTAAGCTTCGCCGTCGCTGCGCTGCCCGTGGAGGATAGATTACTGGGTTTTTTAACTGGAGCATTAACCCTCTAGGCCCCCCCAAAACATCCCACAGCCCTACACCCAAACCCAATGAGCCCAAAGCTCTCGAAAGCCGAAGCCTTGTAAGCCTCAAGCCCTACAAACCCTCAGTCCCAAGGGCGGGGTAAAAGCAGAAAACCCTGAACCCTAAAACCCTAAAACCCTAAAACCCCAAACCCTAAAGCCCTAAACCCTAAAACCCTAAACCCTACATAAACCGAGTGTGGAAGTTTGGAGGAAAGAGCTTTCCTTTGTTGGATTCGGGGCTTCAGAATGTGATCACTCGAGTCGGCCTCTGGAGGTCACGATAGGGGCTGCTACAAGGGTTACTAATTATGAGGGTTACGATTGGGTTACGACTATGGTTTCTAAAAGTTTAGGCTGTTACAGCAGGGTGTGTTCCCACTGCGTTTCGAGACTTAGTGCCAGCAGGCGCGACCGCCGCAGCTCCAATGCGACTTGGTTTAAGCTTGTTTGCACCTTCGCCGTCGGGTTCAATGACGGGAAGTCATGTACGGTTGGCTCTTAACAGATTTATCATGGTTGGGGGATTTGGGATGGCACACCCCGAACACCCTAGCCCAACCTTCTCGAATGCGCAAAAAGACATGGCTGAAGTTAAGCACCCTAAGCCCACTGGCTCTGCAAGCCGCGCACGCCACAATGCCCAACTTGTGGGAACTTTAGATGCCACAGTCCCCTGATTACACCGCTACCCTAAACCCTAAGCCCCAACAGTACTGGCAAGGCCACTCCCAAGCACTTCTCCCTTTGAATAATATAGGAACCTGATTGAGAAACCTTGGGTCCTCATTAGGGTTCTTTGTATGGATCCGAATATTTTGGGGGTTATAGGACCAGGGTTTCTTAATCAGGTTCCTGCATTAGGTTAAATTTTCGAGTGAACCGAAGATATCTCTCCGCGCTCTATTCATTTGCTTGTGGTAGGATGCAGTTTCTAGGCGAGACGTTCAAGGCAAGCATTCCTATATAAGACGTGTGTGTGTACATACATACATACATACATACATACATACATACATACATACATACATACATACATAATTGTATATATATATATATATATGTAGAGAGAGAATGGGAGAGAGAGGGAGAGGGGGACTTCCTGCACCCCTGCGCAAAATCTCTATGTATGAGGACATGCTGCGAGAGCTGCGTGGTGTTCTCAACACCGCGGCAGCATCCACTCGGGGTGGTGTCGTTTCTTGGCCCATGTTTAGGGAGTCGTTCACGGCTTTAGGGTGTGGGTTAAGGCGCCCCGACTGAAGCTCTGCCAAAGGGGTTTAGGCATTCGAGGTTCAGTGTTTCGAGGTTCGGGGTTTCAGGGTTTGAGGGTGTGGTCAGGGTTCCAGGGTCTTACTGTGGGTTACAGATGCGTGATGTAAAACCTAAAGCCCAAGACACCAAAGCCCCATGCCGCCGAGGTTGTTTTCTTCCCATCTTTCGAATATCTCGGTCAAGTGGCTTCGTCTTTCACACGAGGCTCCGGCGGTTGCCCGATAGATGTTTTAGTTTTGGATCATTGTTCAAGTCTTCAATGTCAAGCTCTGCTGTTCTATCTTGGGGCGTGCAGAGTTTTAAGACCTTGTGATCAATGATTCAGGTCTTTTGGTGTGGATCCGAGAGTTATTCTGTGGGCAGGCTTATGAGACTCATTCAAGCCAAGCACAGCCTGCCAAATGAAATCCTGATACACTGCCACAGCGCACGCGGCGCAGGATGCGGTGGCCGCCGGGTGTTCCAAGAGACGCGGGAAGGCACAATGAGCCCGTGCGAGTGCATTTGTTTGCGTGTGTGTGAGCCTCGGTGTTGCTGATACAACCCAGTCGGAACTACATCACCGCAACAAGTGCTATGCCGATGTGCCAGTGTTTGGAAGCAACTGCAAGCTGCGCACGTAGATGTGGACTTGCAAGGCTCTCGAAAACATGTATATATCAGCGATCTAGCCTGGAACTTGAGTCGTCTTTCTCGGCGTAAAGCCACGCAACATCAAGAAACCGACGAGAACCAGGGAAAACAGAGCCCGAACCGACCTTAAATCATCAGCGCACGAATGTCGGAACCTGATTAACAAACCCTGGCCCTATAACCCCAATATATTAGGTCTAATAGTAAGGACCCTATTAAAGGCCTAGGGTTTCTTAATCAGGCTTCTATATTATCTGCTAAACCCGCCCCCTAAACCCTAAAGCCCCGAAACTCTAAAACCCTATAGAACCCTAAACCCTAAACCCTAAAACCTAAAACCCTGGAACCCCAAACCGTAGATCCGACGCTGCAGGATCTTCGAGAGAGGAGGCCGGAGGCAGCCTCCTCCAACGTGTCGCAGAGACGATCCAGAAGGCCGCCACAAACTAATATGGGAGTTTCCAAAAATTAGCGTACCTTATTTTGGGGTCCTTATAATACGGGTCCTACCATTTAGGGTACTATATTAGGGTCCCCTATTTTCGGAAACTCCCGTATAGGGGCCTAAATAAGTACTAATACTATTCTGGCGGCTCCTTTTTATAAGTATGGTATCAAGGACCCCAAAGCCCTATTCTAATTATTAAGGTCCCTTTATCAACACTCTGCTATCTGCGCGCATAAGGTCTTAGGTCGAGGTTGCAATCGTTTGTTTTCGGGTCTGGGATTGTATTTGAAGGTTTCAGGTTTAGGCAGCCAAAGTCTATGGTTGGCAAAGGTACTTCAGTTTTTAATTTTGTGCAACCATCACCTTGTTCGTAAGCCTTTAGCCAACCCTCAGCCGAAAGACGCGACAAGCCACATTTCTGGGAGTGGGGCGATTCAATCTTAGACCCGAAAAGTTTGACCCCAAGCAGTATTCGGATGTTCCTTCGCGGTTTACAATTGCCACACAGATCTTCGTGCATCTGCTACCCAAAGGAGGGGGATGTAAACGCTACCGTTTTCTGGAGCCTATTATGAGCACTAAACCCCCAATAGCAAGCTTGGCGAGGAGGAAGGGGCCGTGCTCTTCGCAGTGAGTGGCGGAAAGCTAAGCGAAGGAATCAACTTCCAGGCGTGATGTGGGACGCAGTGTTGGTGCTAGTTTTGCTGTTTCTGGCCTCGGGCGGGATGTGGGGCAGGGGTTCCGTGAGTTCCTCGGTTTTTGTGCAATACCACGAGCATCCGGCATTCATGTCTTGAACCTGATCATGGAATCTCAAGCCCTTGCAAGGACGACCTCTGCCGCCTCGTGCTTGTCTGCGACCCAGAAATCCAGCAACCCTAAACTCCGGGTTGCCTTCCGGTTTGGGGCTTCTGGATTCAACACCTAGAAGCCCGACAGATGTTCTCTGAACTACAGTCCCGCTTTAGGTCCCCACAATACTACTTCGACCTCTTATGAAAAAGGATCCTAACAGAGGGTTCCTCATTACAGCTATAGTAGAATATACACCAAAACCCTATCCTAATTATCAAGGCGCCTACATTGCCCATCTTTTGAATTTCAGTTTTAGCTTCAGCCAAAGGGCCTGACTCCCACCACCCAGAAGTCCTCGAGGCCCCGAAACCCCATCCCTAAATTCAGAGGACTCTTCTTGGTTAACCCTGAAACCCTAGACCCTCAATCTTAAATTCAACCCTAACCCTAAACCCTAAACCCTAAACCCTAAACCCTAAACCCTAAACCCTAAACCCTAAACCCTAAACCCTAAACCCTAAACCCTAAACCCTAACCCCCCTTCACCCCCCCTGGAAATCTTAGACCCTGATCCTTGAACCCTTGGATCCTCAACTCAGACCCCAAACGCGAAACCTTAGACCTGAAGCCATGTAGGGTTTAGGGGTATCGGGTTTAGGGTTTTTAGGGTATATAGAGTATCGGGTTTAGGGTTTCGGGGTGTAGGGTGCAGGGGGGAGGACCTGAAGACGGACAGCCTAAAGTATATAAGCCGTATAACACCGTAAATGGCCTCAACATAGAAGCCGAAATAGTTATCAAGGTTGCTCCTTGGAGTTCCTTGTTATATATCATCATAGGTATCCCATAGAGGAGCCTACTACCATTTTCTTAACTAACCCTAAACCCTAAACCCTAAACCCGAAACCCGAAACCCGAAACCCTAAACCCAACCAACTATTCAGGCACCTACATGACCAAGTCCCCGAATGGAATGCCGGATCAGGTCGTTGGCCTTCCATATCCCAACGCCTCTGACTTGGCACTGACAGAAAAGACACCAGCCAGCACTGATGAGTCTTTCGGCTTTGGGGTTTGGGGTTTAGCAGTTTCGGGTCTAGGTTTCGGTAATTCCGGCTATAGGGGTTTATATAGGTCCCAACCCTAAATCCTAAACTGTTGTAGGTGTTGGGTAGTTTTTGATGGAGTTTCGGAGCTTTGGAGTTTTTGAGCCTCTGGGGTTTGGGGCGAGGGCTTTGGGGCGCAGGTCCTCGCGGCCTTGAGTCCTTAGGGCCCTTCGAGGTTTCGGGGCGCGTTGGGGACGAGTGTAGAGCCGCCAGTCCCTTCAACCACTCTTCTGAAGCAGCCGTTGCCGGCCTTATGGGATCCAATATAATAAGGCTATAGGGCTATGAGGATAGGGAATGTAGGGTTTAGGTTTCGGAGTTTTTTTATCTATAAGGTTTGGGAGTGTAGGTCTCAGGGTTTAGGGTTTTTCGGCTAGGATCTCAAGCTTCTGGTCTCTCAGCCCTGAAACGCCAAAATTACAAGCCTTCAGCATGTAAGATCAAGCCCCTGTCAAGCCCCGCAAACCCCTTACAAAGCCGAGTGAATCCGAGCAAAGGATGCGCTTCCTGGATGCGGCTCGCGCGCGAGGCTCTCAAGGCAATTACCCTGAGTCCACTAGGGTTCCTGCAAGGGTTCTTGTAAGGTTCCATTAATCTCCAAAAAGATTTCCAATAATCATCTAGGGCTGTTGCAAAGGCTTTAGGGTTTTGTTTGGGCTTCGTGGGCTGTACTCTGCGGGTTGATGGGAAGCATGTACCTGTACACAGTAACTTATATGCTTTGAGGTCAAAGTATATGCTATGGGTAATAACAAGGACCGTACGTCCACTAGGGTTCCTGCAAGGGTTCTTGTAAGGTTCCATTAATTTCCAAATATTTCCAATAATCATTTAGGGCTCTTGCAAAGGCTTTAGGGTTTTAATTGGGCTTCGTGGACTGTACTTTGGGGGTTGATGGGAACCATGTACCTGTACATAGTAGCTTATACACTTTGGGGTCAAAGTGTGTGCTATCGGTAATTACAAGGACAGTAGCGGGGTTACTCGGTGTTTTTTGTTTTCTACGCATATCTCCCGGTGAAGGCGGCTTCGACTTCATGGGGAGAGTCTTGCCCAAGGGTCGTGTCATTTAGCGGGTAGGCATTGAAGCGCACTACCGGCAGTCAATTGCCATTGAGCACTAGCACCAATCGGCCGTCAAGAACCCGAAACCCTAAACCCTAGGGGTATTGTTTGGGGAAAAAAGGCTTAGAGTTCTGGGCTTCTGAGATGAAGTTACAGTAAACCCTCAAAGTTGGAATCCGGATTAAGGATAAACAGTGCTGGGATTCCCTATACAGTACGCTTAAGGATAGAGGCTATTGGGTTTCCTGGGTTTCCAACTTTTGCGCTTCTACTGTAGAGAACTTGACCCTACAGTAAAGTTTCTGGCTATTGTGATTTGCGCATAAGTCTTACATCTGGGTTCCAACTCCTGAACATGGGGATGAGAGCAGTGGCCCGTCAGTTCGCGCTGCGGACTGTCTTTCTTGAGCTGTAGCCCCTAACCCCTAAACCCGTTTCGTGAGCTGATGGAAATTCCGGCTTACCCGCCTGCTCGCGAGGGCTTTGCTAGAGACTGACTGTTGCGGATAGCGACAGAGGCGCTTAAAAAACTAAACCCTAAACCTGCAGGGTAGAACTTGCGGTTTGCCTATAGTCTCCATTGTAGTTCCTTTTTGGGGTTACCTTATAGGATCCTTAATATAATATTGGTTAAACCAAAAAAGGGAACTACAATGGAGACTATAGGTGGCATGGGAGCATGCGGGTTTTTTTTGCAGCCTTGGGGTCGATGGGGTGTTGAGTCCATGCTCGGGGGTTGGAGGTTTTGGTGTTTATGGGGTTTAGGGTTTGTGGTTGTGCTTTCAAGTTTTTTTGTTCCATATGAACTTTGGGGTTTAGGCCGGATTTAGGCCAGATCGTTCATAAAGGGGGGCAGTATAATGGACAGTACAATTTAGGCAGCACTTCGTTGGCGGAGAGGCCTGAGCGGGCGAGAGTTTTACAGCGCCAAGTGCCCACCCCAGATGGCTGCACATTTGCTGAGGGGTTTAGAGTTTAAGGGTTTAGGGTTTAGATTTCATAAGGGCTATGTACTAAACCCCCAAATGGGGAACGTAAAGTCCCAACATCTATGGCTTCATGGTGTAGGGTTTACAGCTAAGGGCTGAAGGTTTCAGGGGTTCAGGGAACTGTTGGGGTTAGGGTTCAGCGTCTGGGGCCAGGGAGGTAGCAGCTCAGGGCTTGCGACCTATGGTAGATACGTATATACCAGAATGTAATATATCTTAAGGGAGTCCTTAACTTAACGGAACCCGAAAGGAACCCCAGACCCTTGGGGAACGGTAGCCCTTTGACATCAGAAGTATTCATTCGGGTTTAGGGTTTAGGGTGCTCGTTTGGGATTAGGGCTTCGAGCGTGGAATTTCCGAGCTATTTTGTCCGATACATTGGACCAAAAGGAGCATTCCCTAAACCCTGCGTTTCTGAAATATGTTAACATGCAAAAGGGAAATTATGGGTAGACTATGGGTATGTAATAATCGCCGCCCATACCCCGCAAACCCCTCGAGCCTGCCTCCTAAAGAGGTTGTTGTTCATGCCCTAGGCCTCCAGAGTTTCGGGTAGTTGGGGCGGCCGGGTCTCGCGATGGCCGTGCTTTTTGTCGGTAAAGCCCAGAAAAGACGAAAGACGACGGACCAGACCGGCGAGCTTGTGATCAGCAGGGTATGTGGGTTTAGGGTTTAGGGTTTAGGACATGCTAAATGGACTTGAGACCGTCACACTGATGGACTTTGCTTGTTGCTCAAGATCCGTCCGTGCAACGACATCGAGAGCTTTTGCTTCAGCTCCTGCCCTTCCGTGCGAATGGGCGCCAGGTTTTGGAACACCGGATGGTGCCCGCGCGATCATGTACGTGGGCAGTTCAGTTTCATCCGCTCTCTGGACGATGATATGCCACCGGGATGGGTCGTAATCTAGGCCTGATGGCCAAGATCCTAATGGCCACTTTACGGCACAACCTGGATCCATTTCAGAGTTTAGGGTTCAGGATGCTAAACCAGAAGGGTTTTCCAGCATCCGGTCGACAAATGCCGTGTGAACCTGATGCCCCGCGCCCATGTTGCCCCTGTGCATAGCTCCTTACTGACAGTATACGCCTCGACAGGCACTCTTGGCGAAGTTAAAAGCCAATCTAACCATATGTGAAGGCACATGATTCCGGTGCGAGGTTCGGTGTGTATGGTTTCAACTCTAGGATACCAGAGATTGCGGTATTATGACTTTAGGGTCAATATATCACGGCTGAAGTAGGTAGTATGCAGCTGCTACTAGTGAGGCAGTGAGGTAAGAAGTACTTAGGCATGGTAACATCATTGCTGTTCCTGCTCATACTGTTGATGGACAAAATTCTGCATGACCCAAATATAGTACAGTACCATAAATCCCATCGTTTAGGTATATAAGGTCATGCAGGATTTTGTCCATCCACCGTATCTCTATCATTTTGTATTCCTGAGGTGCATGAAAGCCGTGAACCAATGTATTGGCCGGAGCATTCGTCACGCAAGGCACTGGGTTGCAGATCGACTAAACCCTAGAACCCTAAATCCTTGGCCTTGAACCCCCAAAGCCTAAACCCTTAACCCTGAACCCTGAACCCTTAACCTAAACTTGGAACCCTTAACCCAAACCCCAAACCCTTAACCCCAAAACCCAAACCCTTAACCCGTAACCCTTAGCCCCTTAACCCTCAACCCTAAACCCTAAACCCTTAAACCCAAACCCTAGGAGGTTTTTGAGTTTAGGCGCGCAGGAGCGTAGGGTTTTTGCGGCTTCGGCGCTCGGGCTTAAGGCGTCGAGGCCTTCCTTAAAGGTCCGGAGAGATGGGGATCTGGGGAGCAAGGGATGACAGGGTTTGGGGTTTTGGGTTTGAGGGCTTTTGGGTTTAGGGTTTAGGGTTTATAGGGGTTAGGGTCTATTGTTTAGGATTTAGGGCTCTACGATTTAGGGATCATGGTTAAGACTGCTTTGAGAGAGGGTTTTCGACTGAAAGGGTTCAGGCGGTTCATGGGGTGGATGTCAGGCATGCTGGATGTCTGCTAGAAGCTGTTCAGACATGGCTCAGACACCCCAAACCCGCATCAGGTCTATGAAATGCACCTGGCCGTAAACCCTAACACCTAAATTCTAAACCCTAACACCTCGGTTCTAAACCCTAAAACCTAAACTCTAAACCTTAAAACCTCAATTCTAAACCCTAAAACCTAAACGCTAAGCCCTAAGCCTTAAGCCTTTAACCCCAAACTGACGCCGAATGCAGGGATTGGGCGGCGATGCTTCTGCTGGACCACCGCTACGCACAGAAAGACATTGCAGGCCCCCACCTCGTAGTCTCTCATGGTTCGGTGGGGTTGGGATTGAGGATTTAGGGTTTAGGATTTAGAGTTTAGGATTTAGGGTTTGGGGTTTAGTGGGTTTTGGGTCTGGGGGTTCAAGGCAAATCCACACATTTCGTTGTGGTTTCGACTTAACCCTAAACCCTAAACCCTAAACCTAAAACCCTAAACCCTAAACCCTAAACCTAAAACCCTAAACCCTAAACCCTAAATTAACTGGTCAAGCACCTCTTTGAGCTGCTCTCGTGCACGAATCCCAGCCCCAAGCAAGGCCAGCTCTCGCGCTGGATTCGTCGAGCACTTGGAATGCCAGAAGTGGGGGTTTCCGAAAATAGGGGACCCTAATATAGTACCCTAATTAATAAAATAAGGTACCCTAATTTCTGAAACTCCCAAGTCGGATTTCAGTAGTTTTAAGAGTTCCGTGCCTTTGTTTTGGTGGTTGCATGTTTAGTGCTTCTTTGCTTCTTGCTTCAGGGGTTCGCAGTCAGTCGTTATCGAAAAGTATTCCACTGCAGCAAAGCCTCGCAAGCTTGTTTAGCCCCATCGGTTCATGGGCTCTAGGAGGCAGGAAAGCCCGAGACAACGCAACCTGAGCCACTTGCCTGCGGTTTGGCGTCAGCCATTCATCTCCAGACCGTTTTGCCTACAGCATAATCCGCCCCTAAACCGAATGTAGCCGGGACCCTTTGTCCCTCAACAGCCTGAAAACTTCGGAGCTAGGCCTCTTTCGGCTTCATGAACTCATGAACCTCGCATAAGGTATTGATGTTTCCCGACATTCTGGACCAGTTCTCCCTGGTCCGTCTCCTCTAGCTCTGTCCCTTTGTCTCCGCATCGGTGTCTCTGAGTCTCTGTCTTTCTCTGTCTTAGTCGGTCTCTCTTTAAGGCTCTGTCTACCCCGAGTAGTAACACAAAAAGTCCAAGTTATAGTATAGCATATACTTTGGGGGCCCAAATACCTACAAAGTAGCTACCATCTTAGTACTTGGACCCTTTGGGTAAACCCTAAACCCTAAACCCTAAACGCTAAGCCTACATCCTGAATCTCCAGGCGAGTCGGCGGCACCGGGGCCCTTCCCGGAGGCGCAGAGTCCCAGAGATTCGGACACCCCTGGTTTTAGGGTTTAGGGTTTAGGGTTTATAATTTAGGGTTTAGGGTTTAGGGTTTAGGAAGGAATTTTAAACCGTGCAAAAATCATCAGGAGCCAATGGGTTCAGGGCCTGGGCTTTACTATAGTTACTTGGCGTTCTTCCGAATGGCTCTTAGGACTTGAACTCTTTGGGTTTCTATATGAACTCTAGTAAGTAAGCTAAAAGTTTAACTTTTAGGAGGGGTTCAGAAGGCAGCCAAAGCTATGCCGTACATCACACTAAGGATGCCTCGATTTTTTGCGACAGTCTGAGGTATATGATGTGGCTTCCTTAATCTTTAGCGGTTGCCGCTTCTCTTGAAACCAGATGGTCAGAGACTCCAAAACCCCTTAATTATTATAATTTAAGGTGTATTCCTTAATTAAGGGGTTTTGGAGTCTCTGGATGGTCCAGATCCTGATGGGTTCTTCGCTTAAGCCCATGGAAGCACCGATCTCTGGTTGTGTGGTTGTGGTCTTCATCCTCCCAAACACGAGTCCCAAGGTTCCTGAAGTTCAGCAGGGCGGTAGTTTCATGCAGCCGGATCTTTGTCCATCTTGGAGGACTTGAATATCAGTGGCTCAGTCTATTTGGAGTCGTTTCGGTAGGCTGTCAGGTATCAGGCGTTCATTCCGCAGCCACTCAAGAACCGGGCCCACAACCCCAACTGTCCCATCCCCCGGCCGAAACCTCACCTCAAGCCCCACAGCCCACATCCCAAGGTCCAGAGCCAACTTTGCAAGTTCTTCGCAGCCCGCCGCGAAGCAGAGGCATGGTTGGGATGGTTGATGTAGGGGTATTAGCAGTAATTTGAAATGCCCTTCAGTAGAGCCCTTATGGTCTTTAGTAGTGCGTATTCAAGGTATACTAGAGGTGGGGTTGGCTGTCTAGGTAGAGGTAAACCCTAAACCCCAAACTGGAGGGATGAGGCAGATCGAAGAAGCTGTGGGGTGCGAGTGGTCCGCTTAAGTGTGGCTTCGTGAGGTCCCTTCAAGTCTTTTCCGTCGATGTTCGCGCCTAGTGCGTTGCTAGGTCTGTATGCCCAATCCGAAAGCCCCCATCAAAACCCTGTAGTACCCTAGGCCCTATGATGACCCGACAATAACACCAAGGCAGCCCCATGGTAGCTCCGCAATGACCCTGTACCCATTGTATCGGTTTGCAGAGAGTTTCTGCCGGTGTTTTACTGGGTGGCTGCCACATCACCGCCTAGACCTACAGTCACAGTCACACAGACTTCATTATCACGAGTTTAACTCATGACAATAAGAACGGCAACTATATCAGGTCATAGTGTCATACTGACCGGATATGGTTTAATTGAACGGAAAAGTCTGGCTGTCATGATATTCAATACGTATATTTATGCATGTGTGTGTAGATACGTATATATACACACCCATGCTACATATGTATATATATATATATACACACACATTTATCTCTACTCTTTTGCTCAGCATGTTTTGGGGCTTAATGCCTCAAGGTTAAAGCGAGCATGCATCTGTGTACCGACGTACGCAGGAGCAGGGGAATGTGTTCATATCATAAATAGTGTAGTCCATATTATAACAGCAAGAAATTCTAGTTTATATAATATACCAACAGGGTTTATGACGAAGCAAAAATGATGCTAGGTACATCCAAGCCCGAAATCCCAAGGCGTGCATGTTCGACTTTTGCATCTTAGTTGCGGTCCTAGAGAGATCTCTTTGTGCTCAACCCGTGACCCCAAAGCCTATTGTGGTATCGGAATGGGTTTGTGGTTTGCGGTATCATGTCCCTGTATAGTCTTGCATACTCTCTGTTGTAATACATCAACGTTGCATGTTCTGGAGCAGGTTTCGGTGGTCCGTTGTAGTGTTGCCGTGCATGTTGCTCGCATGCTCGAGTGTATGTTCCCTTGTGCCTCCCAGACCTCGGAATGAACTGAGTAATTGATTGCTAGAGAGGTTCGGAAGATGTTTTCGTGTCTGATTTGGGGGTATACACAAAAGCCAAGGTCCTCGTTGCTCTGAAAAACAAACGCAGGTATTGTCTTCCGAAGCCTTGTCGCAGTGACCCGCCCGGCAAGCGAATTCGAGCACTAGCTGAACAGGCAAGGGCCCAGATGGTACAGCTCAGGGATCGCGGCTTTACCTTCAGCCTAAACTGTAGGACTTAACTTGGAGGTGTCAACATTTGCACCTCCAAATTCAGTAGGAGCCGGGAAAGTGGGTAGCATCTCGCTTGGATTTAGGGCTCAGGGTTTAGGGTTTAGGGGTTAAGAGTTTAGGGTTTATCGTTTAGGGTTAGGGCCGGTTAGAGTTTGAGGGCGAGGTTCATAAGGTTTAGCGCGGCTAGTTCGAACAAACTTACGGCTGCGGGGAGCCTCTAGAATTGGACTTACTACCCAACTCTGTGCTTAAGGATGCGTAAAGGATCTGGAGTTGGGCAGGATTGACGTCGCAGCGCAAGACAGATAATTACCCTGAGCAGCAATTTCCTCAACCTCCAACAGCCCAAACCCGAAAGAAAAGGCCATATATATATGATCCCGGTGCGGCCG